TCCCATTACTGATATCCACCAGTGAGGTTATCACATTACCCAACACTGAGAGGGACTTGTTGATACTACCAGCCTCCTAACAATAATAATAATAATAATAATAATAATAATAATCTTCATTAACTAATGTATTAATCATTACTTTTAGTCTTATTCCATCAGTAAGAGTGTCCCTCTGTCTCTCTGATCCTGCCAGATCAATTAAATTCAATTTTGAGCTCCTGATCTTACACAATCCATCATCACCCTCCTATTAATCATAGATATTATAGACTACATAACCTATAGTCTCTAATATCTATGGTATTAATGAACCATCACAGACCACACCTTCTGACCCCACCCCCTAATACCTTCAATGACCACGCCCCCTAATACCTTCAGTTTAGATTCGACTGATAGCATGAACACAGCATGGCTCCTACTGCTCTCTCTGTTCATTGAAGTACCAGCAACACGTCTGTTAGTATACCCCCTCAGTAATACCTAGGATATCATTAGGATACTATCAGGATACTATTAAAATACCTGGTATGTCTCGGTTGCCGTGGTGACTATTTCTTCAACAATCCCATCAACATACACACCTCTTTTGATGCTCTCCCTCAAATGTAAACAAACAAACAAACAAACAATTAAGGACAACAAACAACAACAAGCAATTAATAATAATAATCAATCAATAAAAGGATATGTAGTCCTTGGTTTGACTGGTCCAGTAGATCATAAATCTGTTCATTGTATATTTCAATGAATGAACACTTACACAAGAACTGGACCATATCACCAAACTAGAGGAGGAGGAGGAGAGAGAGATAATAAGTAATATACTACAATAGAGTGGCTTTATGTATCAGAAAATGCCATAAAAACTTGAGGCGATTTCTGAGCTATTTTTTGGAAAAAACCATGGGCTATAGCCTTGGGTATTTTTCAAAATTTCAACATTTTCTTAAAATGGCCGTAACTTGAAAAATTAAAGTCGGAATCAGCTCAAACTTTCTACACAGCATAAGGACAGGGCCGCCAATAGGCTACGTGGGGCCCAGGCCAAAAGCTTTGATGGGGCCCCTACTAATAAAAATTGCCCCCCCCCTTATTAATAACAGTGATTAACAAAATGGCCCAGCAAGAGTTAACTTAAATTCATTAATATTTTTCTGTAAAAACTATGCATACCTACTACTGACCAGGGGCTTGGGGGGCCCCCCTTTGATTGGGGGCCCGGGGAAAAATGCCCCACCTGCCCCCCATATTGGCAGCCCTGCATAAGGACATCAATATGTATCAGAAAATGTAATAAAAATTTGGGGTCATTTTGGAGCCATTTTTTGGAAAAAAACCATGGGCTATAGCCTTGGGTACTTTTCAGACTTTTGAAGTTTTCTTAAAATGGCTGTAACTTTAAAAATTTAAGTCGTAATAAGCTCAAACTTTCTACACAGCATAAGAAGGTCAGTATGGTATCATATACTCCATACTTTTTGTCTTTCTCTGTTTATTAAACTAAATAAATATTCAAAGCTCCTTGGGATGACTCCTCTGTACTCATGAATGTATCCATCACTACCTTCATCAGAGGGACCTACGAGTAACCATAGCAACAGTAGCCATAGTAACGGTAACTAAGAAGTGGCGTACCTATCATTGTGAACGTCTTTCCTGAACCAGTCTGACCACTA